TGAAAGCCTATGAGCTGGAGTAGCAAAATGAACCTAAAGCAAGATAAACACCTCTCATCTCAGCCTCCTAATTAGCTGGGACACACACACACACACACACCCCAAATGCATGGCACAACTGCTGAAAAACAGTAATATAGAGAAAGTATTAAAAGTAGTAAGAAAAATAAGCTACATTACATATAGAGGAAGAAAGACAAAGAAATCAGAAGACTTCTCTTCAAATACTATGCATAGTAAAACACATAATGCTTAAAGTGCTGATAGAAAAAAACATGCTAACAAAAAGTCATATATAAGAAACTGCCATATATGAGAAATTGAAGGGGGGGGCACTTCATCAATAAGGATACCTGATCTCAAACCAGGTGAAGTGGGGACCAAAGTGAGGCCCAAACTTTGCCTGTACAATGACCATTTGTTTACCTAACCTTGAATTGTATCCCACATCTTTAAAATAAAAAAGTCATATATATGCATTTCATATATGTATACATATATGCAATATATATTATATATAATATGTACATTATATATAAAATACATATTTCATATATATACACACACATATACATATATACACATACACATATATCCATCTGTCAAAATGTAAGGCAAAATAAAAACTCTTTCAGACCTGAAAAAATTCAGAATTCATGTTGGTCAACCTACATTACAAGAAATATTAAAAGGGTTCTTTAGGCTGTAGAACAATGATACCAGATGGCATCCTGTCAAAGGATGGAAGAATGTTGGGAAGGGTAAATGTATATATTGCATATAAAATACTTTTACTCTTAATTCTTAAATTCCTTCAAAGGATAACTGTTTAAAGCAGTAACAGTCAGTTGAGGGTTTATAATACGTATAGAAGAAAACTATGTAACAATAGCACAAAGGATGGGAAGCAGTAAACAGAAGCATACTATGAAGTGGTATAACATCATTTGAAGTTGACTGTGATAAATTAAAGCACATTCTGTAAACCCTAGAGAAATTACTTGAAGTCAATCCATCAAAAAAAAAAAAAAAAAACCACCACCATAAAAGTGATAAAAACCTATGCATACAATAGCAGAGTTTCAAATCACATGAGGCAAAATCTGACAGAATGCAAAGAAGACAAAAAAGGTTACTATACTAAAAACTATTTTTCTATATATAAGCAATAAATTATTACAAATTAAATTTTAAAATGATTTACAGTTGCATAAAAACATGAAATATGTAGGGGAAAAGGTAACCAAATATGTAAAAAATATATACATTGAAAACTACAAAATATAGTTGAGAAAAATTAAAACAATTATCCAGAAAGTGGATGATAACTTCCATGCAATCTCAATAAAAATTTCCTCAGGTTTTTAAAAAATTTTCTGTAGACATGTACAATATGATTTTAAAATTACATGAAAAGTACAGATCCTAGTATAGTCAAACAAATTTGAAAAAAAAAACCCAAAAGTTGGAAGACTAATATTACTTATTTAAAGACTTACTAAAGCAGCAGTAGCCAAATCAATATAATGTTAGCATCAGACCTATAGCTAAAAGAAACAGAATACAGTTCAGAAAGACTCATGAGTGTAAATTCAGTTGATTTTTAACAAAGATGCAAAGGCAATTTAGTGGTGAAAGAATAGTCTCAATGGGGTATCTATATGAAAAAGATAAGTTTTCTTACTTCTCACCACACACAAAAATTAACTTCAAATGGTTAATAGATATAACCATTAAAAACTAAAACTTATAGCCTTAGTAAGCTAAAACTTCTTAGGTCACAAAAAGAATAAAACATTTTAAAAATTGATGAACTGAATTTCAAAGGTAAAAACTTTTCCTCAAAAAACAGTAAAAGTGAAAAGGCAGGCCATGAACTGGGAGAAAACATTTGCAAGGCATAAATATATCTGACAAAGGACTTTCATACAGAATACATAATAAATTCTCACAATTCGATAATAAAATGCATAGGAATGATTAAAAAAAAACAAACAAACAGAACAGTGGGTACTTCTGTAACAGAAGAAAAGTACAGGGAATCTTGACCGTATCTATGTTTAATTTCTTTAAAAATTGCTGGATTGTGAGTACTTAGGGCTCTATTGTAATTTTATTTATATTTTGTTCTAGGCTTAAAATGTTTACAATTTTTAAAAAGTTCTACAAAGAACTCAAATCAGCAAGAAAAAAGCTAATGACTGTATTAAAAAGTAGGCAAATGAAATGAATAGACATTTCTCAAAAGAAGACACACAAATGGTCAGCAAACCCAAGAAAAAATTGCTCACCATCGCCAACCATCACAGAAATGTAAAGTAAAACCACAATGAAATATATCACCTTACATCTCTCAGAATGGCCATTATTAAAAAACAACAGATAGCTGGGCTCAGTGGCTCAGCCTGTAATCCCGCGCCTTTGGGAGGCTGAGGTGAGTGGATTGCCTGAGCCCGCGAGTTGGAGATCCGCCTGGGCAGCGAGATCTCATCTCTACAATAAATCAAAAAATCAGCCGGGCATGGTAGCGCACGCCTGTAGTTCCAGCTACTTGGAAGGCTGAGGCGGAAGGATCGCCGGAGCACAGCAGGTCCAGGCTGCGGTGGCCGGGAGCGGCCACTGCACTCCAGTCTGGGCGAAAGAGTGAGACTCCAACTCAACAACAACAACAACCAAAAAACAAAACAGATGATGGCATGGGATGCGGTGAAAAGAGAATGCTTATACACTGTTGATGAGAGTGTAAACTATTACAACCTCTATGAGAATCGGTATAGCGGTTTCTCAAAGAACTAAAGTAAATCTACCATTTGATCTAGCAATCCTACTAGGTATCTACCCAAAAAAAGAGACATCAGCACTTGCACATTTACTGCAGCACAATTCACAACTGCAAAGATGTGGAATCTACCTGAATACCCATCAGCTGATCAGTGGCTGTTGAAAATGTGGTGCATGTGTATACACCATGGACCATGATTCAGCTGTAAGAGACAATGAAATAGTGTTTTTTGCAGCAACTGGACGGAATTGGAGAACATCATCCTAAGCGAGCTAACGCAGCAACAGAAAGCCAAATACTGTGTGTTATCACTGAAAGCGGGTGCTGAAGTAAAGATCTTCAAAGGCGTAGAGAATGGAATGATGAACATTGGAGATTCAGAAAGAGGAGGATGGGAAGGCATGGAAGATGAAAAGTCACCTATGGGGCACAATGTGTGCAAGTGGGGTGGTAGGTATACTTAAAGCCCGGACTTCTTTGTCACTGTCCAATGTATCCATGTGATAAAAAATGATTTGTACCCTCTAAAGCTACTGAAATAAAGAAAAACAAAGAAATAAAAATTAAAGACAAGAAAAAGTGAACACTACACTCACATAGCTTGATTCACATCACTCCATTAAATGATCATGGGTACTAAGACAGTCAACGGAAGGTTTTGCGTCCATGCCTTATTCTACTATGTTTATTTGATGTCAGGGTACACATAAATACATATAAAATGGGAGAAAGGGAAAAGATTGAATCATATCCTTATTTCCTACTACCCACTACCACTTGGAAGTTTAAATGTTTCCATTGTCACTTTAAGCAAACATACTCAAAATCAGTTCACTGTTCTTTTCCCACCATTGACTCACATTTTCAACTTCTATTCTCTTTGCTGGTTCTACCATTTTACAAACCAGAAGGATGGTGTATTGTTTAGAGCACAAGCTCTAGAGCCAGACTGCCTGGATTCCAATTTTGAGCTCACCACTCAAAAACTGCCCGACCTTCGGCAAATTACTTAAATCTTTCTGTGCCTCAGAATAAACTGAACAACAGTCATGCTCAAAAATGCTAACAATTTAAAAAATATTCTTATTGTTGTTACTATTATTACAACTACTTTTTGATTCATCTTTGTCTCTTCCTTTGTTCTCTCAATATCAAGGAAGATACTATGCCCTATTTAATGCTCCCAAAATAACCTGACATCTGGCTATTTCTGGTGACCAGTAGTGAAGGTACAGACCACTAGGGACTTTTTTTCTACAAGCCTTCCTTTTACTTCAATTGTCCCCATTCTAATCTGTTATATACTACCGTTAGGTTAGTTTTTATTCCTTTCCCTAAGTCCCCTTTTCCTATAATAGGAGTAATTATATGAAGCTCTGCACAAGGAAAAACAAACATTTCAGTGGGTTCCCAAATTAACCACTGCTATAAAAAGTAGGATGGTAGAAAGTCTCAAGGCTGATGTTTTAACCCTACAAATATCAAAGCAAGTTACATTTATTACTGTAAGAGGAACAATCAGATATTATAAATTGCCTTTGAATAGCATTAGCAAGTCCCTCCTATTACATCAGCAATCACTCCTTACACAGTTTGAGATTTGTTTTAGTACTATAAAAAAATCACCAGCCTTTTTTCAGCCAGTATAGAAACTCAAGTGTCACTTACCTCTCTGGGCCCTAGTTTCCTTTTGTTATAAATAAAATGATATATAAATACCATTACTCCATGCTCCCAGACCCTAGAAGTTACCACTAATTGAGCACAATACTTTTTCCTGATGAGGACAGAGAAAGCAAAGTTATCCAGGAAATTAGTATCAACAAAGGAACTGGCAGAGGTGAATTTATGTCATTCTTGAACTACATAATTTCTAGAGTTTCTCCTAATTTTAAAGGCCTGTGATTCTATCCTAAAACTACAAATCCATATAAAATTCTTCTAATTTAAAATTTATGATTCACTTGACAATACTTCTAAAAATCTGGACAGCATTCTGAAATCTTTCATAAAAAATCATTTTTGTATTGCTTCAAGATAGTTGATTTTAAAATGTTAAACTATATTTTAAAACAAGTTTCATCGTGATATTCCATTGTGATCATGCTGCTGTGACAATGCATTTGGAACACTGCTAAAATGGGGGGGAGCCTAGGAAGTTGGTGTGGGCACATAAACGTTATGCAGCTGAAATCATGACATTTTTTTTGACATTTACCTTTTCTCTTCTTTTGTTCTCAGCTGTTCTTCCTGTCTCAAAACTTGAACCATTATAGATTCAAACACTCCACTTGTCAAGCCTGCCAAACTTCGCGGTGTTGACCGACGCCTGGTTGAAGTACATGCAGTTCCCTTTTCATCCTCCAATCCATAATAGCCTCTAGATGTAACTGCTATCGTTGTCTTTTCTCGCAAGTGCCTTGGAGAAGAATAAGTCAATTCACAAGGTCAAACCTTCTGGATAAGCAATAAACCCCCTTAATCAGAAGAATCCCTTCTGCTAACTAAATGAAAAAATAGTTATTTAAACCTCACTTAGCTATGCTCCAGATTTTTATCTTCCCTATACAATTTCTCATATTCCTTATTTATATCATGAAACAGTCTGAGTGATAGTCCCTTCCCTACACTAAAAAAATATAAGACTGAAGCATTAAAAATATTAAGGACCAAAGCACTATCTCCTAAATGGAAAAAAAGTTTATATTTCATACTAGCTATCACTGGTATGGGGAAATGTACAACAATCCAGAAACACTTTGAGAAAAAAACTTACACATTTTCAACAAACTGCATATTATCATATATAATTATAGGTTGAAATTTGGAAACCACCTGACTAAACTGTAAAAAGAATCCAGAGTCTAGATTTCCTCTTCATTATCACCATGTCTCCTTACTCTATGATGCTTTAATTGATACACTGAGATCCTAATCTAATGCTTAAAGATGATCACAAAAAGTAGTTTATCAACAGTTTGCTTAATTATCTAACAGTGCCCTTAATAAATCTGAAAAAACTTTTTAAAACCATTTACATAGGGGAAAGAAACATTACATTTATCTTATAAAGTTTTTAAGGCTAGACTAAGAACTGACTTCTGAATTTGCATCTATATGAGGACTAAATTGTAAAAAGCTTCAGGGAAAACATCTGCTCATCTACCTTTATAAAATACACCAGAGTTTATGAAGATTTCATACATGTTGTTATTTCTACAATGGCAAAATTATGTCAATAAAAGTATTTAATACAATGAATAAGAATCCTATATAAATTTTAAATGGACCCTATAGTTATATTTTCCTGCTTTTCTACAGGTTTCCTTTAATATAAAATAGGCTATGGGTTCATTAAAATATAAACCTTTATGGCATAAAACATAATCAAAGCCCTGTACTTCTTGGACTATGTCCATAGTGGTTTATTAAGCTAAATTAGAATAACTGTATAACAATCTTACCCACAATGCCACCTAGGTCCCATGAACAGTATAACTGCAGGGTTCTACTGAACTGCGGCACCACTATGTGTTTCCTGTTATTAGGAAATAACACTACAACAAATTCAGCTTTAAGTAGGGCATGAATGTTAAACTGGTTTTCCAGTAACACTGAAGAATTTGGGCTAACCTAACAGTCCATTTCAGGCTGTGATCTTTGAATGTATATAATAGCATACATCTGTATGATGGCTAACTGAACTAGGAGTAAGGAATTGTGGGCCCACAGAAGACAGCTGACTGGCAACAGATACTGGATTCACTTTAGTATAGTGTTTCTATTAGGTGAACTAATTAGCTCTGTCATTTTAATTACCTCATCAATACTTATAAAAGAGAACATTAATGAACAATATTACATTGAAAAATAATGACATCTCAGAGGTTACAGGGTCTGTAGAACATGGGGAATAACAACCCAATAAGTATTTTAGAGCATGGAGGAAGGGGGGAGTTGAGAAAAGTAACAAGTCAGAAACTGTGTTTTACCCTTTAGCTTCAGTTTTATAAGCAGACAAGATGAAGCTATAACCTACTTTTTAAAAAGAAATGTCTCAGAAAAAAGACCAAAGAGAAGAAATATCCTTGTTATTTACCAGAAATAAAAATGCATAAGCTTTGATATTTATCACTCATAATTAAGATATAAGAAAACCCAACCAACTATGCTATTTCTCTCTCACCAACATATAAATTAAGAAGCCCGGTATAGCTCAGTGCAGGAAAGGATATAAGGAAAGAAAAACTTTCATACCACATTAGTGGGACTGTAAATCGGTACAGTCTTTCTAGACACTTATTTGGTAATAATCATGTAAATTTAACGTGGGAGTTTCTGGCAAGATGGCAACGGAACAGGTCAGACTGTGAGAGCCCCTGCAAAAGTGGACGTCCATAAAGACAGTCTGCGTGAGTGGGTGTGTGCCAACAGTGAGTGAAAGCTCGTCTGAGGGGAGACTCGGGTTCACACACCCGGGGCTCGCCTCCCAAGGTGACTGCAACCCACATCGCCCCGAGATTGGAAAGCCTGGCATGCAGGATCGTTTGCCGTTCTCGGGAATCTCGAGAGAAGGCAGCACAGAACAGCCACCCCTCACCACCTGGAACCCGGCCCATGCCATCACCTGTAGCATCAGCTCCGGCACAAGCAGGAGGAACCGTGGAGAAGGCAGTTCACAGAAATCTGGAATAAAGCGCCAACGCCTGCAATGGGCACCATCTTCTCAGTCCCGGAATAGGCAGAGACCTGCATGGCCACATCTAGCCCTGCCCAGCCTCTATCTTGGGACCCAGACACTATCTTCTCATCAGACTCGAAGAGACAGAGGCTCCTCCTCCGTGCACAGACACATCAGATCTGAGTGGGAGACTTGACAGCAGCAGCAGGGAGAAGGGCGAGATCGGATCGGATTCATCCTCCTCCGAGTCCACGGGGCATCTGACCTACTCTGAGAGCAATCCTATCATCAGCCTGCGATAAGAGTGAAGGGGAGGGGCTGGAGACCAGAGCCACTCCCTAAAGCAGAGGCCTAAAAGGAACCTGGAGTTACAGAAACAGCCACAGAGCAAAACTTTTTTCTTCTTGTTTTTCTGTTTTAGTTTTAGTTTTTTTCATGTCTCCTTCTGTTCTTGTTTGTGATTTTGAACTTGCTTCGTTTCTGTTATTTTAATCGTTTTTGTTTTTGGAGTTGGAGTCTCACTCTGTCGCCCAGACTGGAGTGCAGTGGCCGCTCCCAGCCACCGCAGCCTCAACCTGCTGGGCTCCTGCAATCCTTCCACCTCAGCCTTCCAAGTAGCTGGAACTATAGGCGCACGCTACCACGTCCGGCTGATTTTTGATTTATTGTAGAGATGAGGTCTCGCCAAGTTGCCCAGGCGGGTCTCAAACCCGCAGGCTCAGGCAATCCACTCACCTCCCAAAGCACTGGGATTACAGGCTGAGCCACTGAGCCAGGCCAGGTTTTTTTTTTTTAGATTCTCTGTTTATGTATGGATATTTTTGAGGGAGAGTAAACCAATGGGGGGGGGGTTTGTTTGTTTGTATGATTGTATGTTTTTGTCTTTTTTGTTTGTCTCTCTGTTTATTCACTAGCTGGTACACCTGTCTGTATTCCCTCTTCTTTCTCTCCACCTCCCTGTCATCTTCCTCTATCCTTCTCCTATTCTTTTCCCTTTTCTTACTCATTTCACTTTCAGGGGGTAAACAGATACCCTCAATGCACAGACAGATTGTAAGGCACTGGGAAGTGCGTTCCAGGGGGCCTACACACCTGTCAGTGGATACTGGGATTTGCAGAGAGCTTCTGAATCATAGCTCCCCCCTTAATTAAATCTCAAAACTGCAAAAAGCACAAGTTCCACCCCCAATCCAGCTTCAGAATGGAACAAACCAGAGGATCTACATAAGGAAGGATAGAAGATTAAGGAAACAGAAATAAAAGCAACCCCCCATCACTGACAAACAGAATTAAAGAAGGGGTTATAAAAAAAAGGGGGGGGGGACTTACACAAATGAAGAAAAACCAAAAGAAGACTATGGGTCTCACACAGACCCCTGGGAGGTCAACCACTGAGAATACAGACTTGGGAATGCAAGCAATGAAGAGCCCCCAGAATGGTTGGTCTCAGATCACAAACCTAGATTTCAAGATATTAATAGAATAAATAGAAATGAGGAGACACATGAGGAAAGAATGAAGAAGTTGAAAACTAAGATAACAACAATAAAGAATACAGTGAATGCAATAACAAACTAATAAGCATGAAAAGCAGAATTAAACAAGCAGAAGAAAGAATCTCAGAGTTTGAGGACCAAAATATGGCACTAACCCAAACTGTTAACAACACAGAAAAGAAGCTTAAAAAGATGGAACAAAACCTCCGAGAGATGAGCAATTACTTCAAGATACTGAACTTAAGATGAACTGGAATCCCTGAGACAGAGAGAGAGACAGAGTCCACCCTGGAACAAACATTCCATGAAATTATCCAAGAAAAATTCTCTCATCTCGTGACATGACCATTCAAACATAAGAGACAGAGAACCCCCACGAGACAACAAATGAGAAGACCAACTCCTAGAAACATAGTCGTTTGCCTACACAAAGTAGGTATAAGAGAAAAAATTATAAAGGCAGCAAGAGAGAAAGGTCAGACCACCTACCAGGGAAGACCAATTAGAACAGCAGCAGACTTATCTACAGAAACACTTCAGGCTAGGAGAACTTGGAGTCCAATCTTCAAAGTTCTAAAAGATAAACAATGTCAACCAACAATTACCTACCCAGCTAAGCTAAATCAGTGATGGAGAATTAAAATTCTTCCCAGACATTCAATCCCTAAGAGTTTACATTGCCTCCAGACCAGTTGTAAAAAAAAATTTAAGAAAGTATTAAACACAGAAGAAAGTGAAAAAAGAATGATCATGCCCTTCCTAAGAATGCAGAAAAAAGACTGAAAACATACATGAATCAACCCCAAAATCAAAAGAGAGACAACAAACAAACAGTAGCAACAACAACAACCTCTATAAGAACCTCACGACAGGGATAAACTATCACATCTCAATAATTAGCCTGAATGTGAATGGACTAAATGGACTACTGAAAGACACAGAATGGCAAATTGGATAAAATATCATGAGGCAACAATATACTGTCTTCAAGAGACTCATCATCACCAGAAAGGACACTCACAGACCCAAAGTCAGAGGATGGGAAACAAAATTTCAGGCAAACGCAACACAAAATAAAGCAAGGGTCATGATCTTAATATCATACAAAATACCTTTAATACTATCAAAAATTTAAAAAGATACAGAAAGTCACTACATAATGATAAAATATTCAATCCATCAACAAGAAATATTCACCCTAAACACATATGCACCCAATATAGGAGCACCAACTTTCATAAAGTAGCT